TATCTATCTATCTATCTATCTATCTATCTATCTATCTATCTATCTATCTACGGTATCTGTTTCATTCATCCATCCTTCTATCATGTGAGATATTCTAAACTGGAAAGATTATGGCTTCTTCTGCCCTACCTTCATGAGTGTCCATGAGGGATGTCAATGACATCCTAATTGCTTTGAGCCACCCTTTAGGTACCTTTGAAGAATCGCACATTTTAACACCCAACGAACTGCTTTCAAAGAGTCAAGAGTCAAAAGTTCTCCAGCAGCAATAGGTTTTCCTTTCTCTCTCTCTCTCTCTCTCTAGGATGGGAGCTGCCAGGTTTCCTTGCAAGATGGCCGCGTGGCTGTCAATGTCCTGTCCACAAAGCTTACCACCAAGAATGCCTACGCTGATGATACCAGCCACTACGTGGCGATCTACAGCGATTCTGCAGGGTACCACTTTTTTGCATTGCACGTTTGTCTTGTCCGCTTCCTCAGTTGATCTCTCCATCTTGAAATATACAACATTGTATGTTGTAGGGTCCGGATGTATGTAGACGATCAGCTTCAGGAATCCACGGCAGGGCCGAATCGGGAGAGGAGGCAAAAGCGTGAAGCCGAGTTGGGCGTTTTTCACCTGGGTGGTTTGCCCAGCCCCAGCGACATTGGCAACCTTACGGGCTGCATTAGCAATGTCTTCATCAAGAGGTGAGCCAGGGCTTCAACCGTGTCCCCTTTCTGCCTTGCTCCAGCTTCCTTTCCTTCTTCGCACCACTTTAACCATTGGGCTCGTTGTGGTTTTGAATTACTGCAGATATTTTTGTACTTGTCAAAACGCATCTGCTGTGTTTTCCCCCTGGACAGCTGTTAATCTTCTTTTCCTTTCTGCACTAGGAGATTGGAAGCCCAGGCAGTTGTGGATATGCAGCAGAGCACCGAGAGTTTTAATGTGACCATGAACTGCCCCCGAGATCGGCAACCCCAGCAGATGAGAGCGCCAGAAAAGAAGAGCAGGTGGAAACCGAAGGTGATGGAAATATAGTAGAAGAGAAGATGAGGGTGGAGGTTTGTTCTCCAAGCTTGTGGGTTGGTTTCCGAACGTTTCTTTACCAAGCTAGGTAACATCTTCAGCGGAGTTTAAGGGATCTCAATGTCGATGTTCTTCTGCTTATAAGAGCTTCATATGGCACAAGGCTATCGCAAGACCCTTACATAATGCAAACCGAAGATTGTATTCAGCAGGTTCTGACTAGTTCTGGAGAACTGGTAGCGGAAACTTTGAGTAGTTTGGAGAACCGGTAAATACTACCTCTGACTGGCCCCGCCCTCATCTATTCTCTGCCTCCCAAGTCCCAGCTGATCGGGAGGAAATTGTGATGTTGCAGTATCCTCCCCCTGGAGTGCAGAGGGAATGGAGATTTTGCAGTATCCTCCCCCTGGAGTGCAGAGGGAATGGAGATTTTGCAGTATCCTTTCCCCTGGAGTGCAGAGGGAATGGAGATTTTGCAGTATCCTTTCCCCTGGAGTGCAGAGGGAATGGAGATTTTGCAGTATCCTCCCCCTGGAGTGCAGAGGGAATGGAGATTTTGCAGTATCCTTTCCCCTGGAGTGCAGAGGGAATGGAGATTTTGCAGTATCCTTTCCCCTGGAGTGCAGAGGGAATGGAGATTTTGCAGTATCCTTCCCCTGGAG